CCCCCTTCAAAATTATTTCTAAATAATAAACAAAATTCCCACCTTCTCGCACTCCTTCCTGTGCTCCCCTTCAAGCTTGTGTAGCTGTTGCTGGAGCTGCCGGTAGTCAACGCTCAACATAGAGTTCTGACGTTCCTTCTCCTGACTAGATGCCTCTGCTTGCTGGCGTTTCTGCTTCTCCAAATTGAGCCTTTCCTGCAAAGCTGTAAAAAAGTATATATAAATAGGAATACATAAGCAGGTATATCAATAAATGCATAAATACCACACCTATAAGGTATGTAAATTGTAAACCAAGGGATACACTGTAATACATACAGACTGCAATAATACACTCAAACTAATTTACCTGCTAGAGCCTGTGCACTAGATTGGTGGTTGTGTGTGGGGGCAGCATTAGCTTCGCGTAGGGCCCGAGCTTCTTGCTCATATCTGCTTGTCATCCCTCTTAATTCCAACTCTAGAGATGTTCTATCTTTCTCTAACTGTACAAGACGTTCGGAAACCTTTTCTGCTTCCTTGCGGGCAACTTGCTCACGTTCAGATGCATTTTCAAGCTGGAATAATGAATACATATATATTTCTATCTGTCAAATGATTTTGAATGTTTTAATTTCTATTTTTTCCCTTACTATAAAATCATCCTTGGTTTTAGTATCAAAAAAATACATTTTATCCCAAATCATTGTAAAAATTTTAAAATATTAATTTCTCTGATTTAGAACTTTATTCAAAAGTAATGTTTTCTGAAATAACCAATAAAACAACTCTTTTTTTGAGGTAATACAAATTAAATGAAACTACTCACCTTCGCTTGTAGACTTTGAATTTTGCCATCAGCTTGTGAGATCAACTCAGTCTGGTGGTTCCTCTGCCCACGCTCCTGCTCTAACTGTGCTCCAAGGTTTGCTATATCACGCTCTAACGCATCACGGATGGACTGGACACTTGATATCTTATCTGAGAGGTCAGAAATGGACGTTTCCTTCTGCTGGTTCATGACTGTTAGCTCTGCATTTTGTTTACGCAATCTTGTGTTGTTGTCTGTCTCAACCTTCAGTTTGTCCTGAACTTCTTTTATCTGAAAACAAGAGTTATAAATTTAATATGGGGTATTTGTGTATGTTGTAAATGGTAGTTACTGCGCTATTAAAGGATAACTGCTAACATTTTGCTATACTTGGATACTTCTAATGAATCACAAGGTCCAATAATAAGAAGAAAGCAATCTCAGAGAATGTAACAGTCAAAATCTTATAAAACATACCTGCTTTTCAAGAGAGTTCAGCTTGTCACTGACATGTTGCGCAGAGTTCAGGTCCCTAGTGCGTTTGTTTTGTTCATCTTCGAGCTTTTTCTTAACCTCCTGATATAGGGCATCCAGCTTCCGTCTACTCTCACCTTCATACTCCCCCTGAGGAAAAGGAAAAATCAGATTTGCATAATTATGGCACAAAACCCTACAGTGTTACTAATTCCTCATAGGAGTAATAATTCTAAGTCTCAAAGGTATATCTCAGTTTTCACTCACATATATTGGTTGATGTATAATCATGTCATGAACCCAGGCCCCAGCAGCTGGAATGATGCTTCAGGAGCCTGGCTGGGAGTTGGATAATATCGTCTGGCTCAGAGTAGCATGCATGAATGCACTTTAGCCTTGCTAAACTTTGTTTAAAATTTTACCCATTGAGGATGGGCTAAGACAGTGCTCCAATGCACCTAAACACACAGATATATAAATATGCAATAGGATGGCAATAGCACACCTACCTTTCTCTGAGCTTCTTTGAGGTCATGTTGTAATAAAGCCAACTTTCGTTCTAGATCTCTCTTCTCCTGTAGTCTCTCCTGCTCCTTTTGTATGAGTGAATCCAGCTGGTTTAGGGTCACTCTGTACTTGGAGTCTAGCTCTTCCACCTGATTTCTCTGGTGTTCCAATTCTGCTGTCAGCACAGCAATCTCGTTACTGCTATCCATACCATCACTTGCCTGTTGAAAGAAATTTCAATTAAAGCAACTACACACTTTCTTATCAATATCTTAATCACTATACCAAAAAAGTATTCACTGTATGTCTGTATATATAAATTTGATTACATGTAACAAATATAAATATATTACACATTTTTATTTTAATATTTTTTATGCACAAGTAATAATATGATAAAGAGATTAGCAAGGCATACAATAAATACTGTTTGTATTTAAAACAATTGTTTAACTTTCCAAAATAAATAACACAATTACCTTTGATATACATGAGTACTCTCATTAATTTCATTCAAGGGGGATGGAGGGGGTATAACAAATCAACATACACAAACTGATTATTTCTTCATGCAGCAAGACAAAAAAATAAAAATAAAAAGTGCCAAAAATAAGTCCATAATTAAGAAAAATCAAACTGACTACAAACTGGAACTTATTTGGATGGTTGTCACAGTGTACACAATGCCAAATTCAAGTTGATGGAGTGTGTTAAAGAATGAAAGACCAATGCTGTGATTCAGAGCATCAGTCAACCAGGATCCATTTTCCCTCATAAATCATGTATAGCCTAAATAAACAGGCAAACAAACAGGAAGTGGTTTCATTTGTTTCATTTTGAATACATATATAGTGTCACATGTGCTGGATTTACAACACTGGGTTCAACTTAAATACTGAGATGGTCAACTTATTGAGATCCAATAATCACAAAAAAGTCCTCTAGGTTGGTTATTGTGCTGCTGCGACTTCAGAGCTCCTAAACTTCAAACAGCTTTTAAAACTCATAAACACCTAAACTACTAAAATACACTTGAACTAGAAAAGATCATGAATGCTCAATTTGAAAAAGTTTTTACTCTTACTGGAGAAACCTCAAAAGCAGCACCACTGGCCAACCAGGATTTTCTTGCAAATACATCTTCAGCTTTCTGTGCAAAGAACTACAGGATAAAAGATCTACTGAAATCTAAAGTACAAGGCTGATCAAACTATGATATTACAAGATTGTGCAAGACACCAAACTTTAAGTTAGAAGGAATAGTGTGGATGTCAGAGACCGAACTTGTTTTACAAAATAAGGAAAACATACCTTAGCCAATATTACATCTATGCAATATCAGCTACATTTCTTAATACATTCATGTTTCATATTCCTACAAGTGAAGGTGAAGATGATGTGCAGTTAATGTTTATGTAATTATGTATCAAAGGAATGAATGATCTCTCAATTCTTTACATTTGACGTAAACAATATAAAAGCAACCACTCTCATGAAACTTACCAATTTACTAGAGTGTACAATAATCTCTTTGTGTGTTATCAATGGAAGAGAAACTGAGAAACTTGGGTCCCAACTTCAGGTGGAATATAAACTATGGCAAGGGTGAACCCCAATATCGGACGACACCTATCCATACTATGATGATTGGAGCTACTCTCTGTTCTACACACTACATAGGTAGTTTATTGTCTCTGACTTTAAATTTTCCAGCAAAAACTTTTCCAAAATTAGCCTAGACATTAATTTTCCAATGCCTTGATTGACATACAATAATTGGTTTATCCAGAATTAAATACAAGGGGTAAAAACTATCATCCTCAATAATCTTTATTTTTTCTTTTTATGGGGAAACCCTAATAACAAAATGGACACAGTATCAAAGTGGGCTGTGATTATCTGCAGGTCCTTAAGTTAATCAACTTCATAATGACAAGAAAGTGAACAAAGTTTATAGTAACAAATTCTACATGTCTATAAATCAAGCTTACAATAAAGTATCTGTGTGTGTGTGTGTGTGTGTGTGTGTGTGTGTGTGTGTGTGTGTGTGTGTGTGTGTGTGTGTGTGTGTGTGTGTGTGTGTGTGTGTGTGTGTGTGTGTGTGTGTGTGTGTGTGTGTGTGTGTGTGTTGTGTGTGTGTGTGTGTGTGTGGTGAGAGAGAGAGAGAGAGAGAGAGAGAGAGAGAGAGAGAGAGAGAGAGAGAGAGAGAGAGAGAGAGAGAGAGAGAGAGAGAGAGAGAGAGAGAGAGAGAGAGAGAGAGAGAGAGAGAGAGAGAGAGAGGGAGGGAGAGAGAGAGAGAGAGAGAGAGAAGGATAGAAGAAAGAAAGAAAAAAAAGAAAGAGAAGTGAGAGAAAAGAAAAGAAAAGAAAAGAAAAGTAAAGAAAGAGAAGTGAGAGAAAAAAAAAGAAAAAAGGAGAAATAGAAGGAGAGTATGAGAAAGGGAGGAAGAGAGAAAAAGAGAAGAAAAGAGAGAGAGAGAAAGGAGAAAAAAGAAAAAAGAGAAAGAGAGAAGAGAGAAAAAGAGAAAAACAGAGAAAGAGAGAAGGAGAGAAAAAGAGAAAAACAGAGAAAGAGAGAGAGAAGAAATGAGTGTGCATATCTGCATGTGCGTAAAGTGGGTGGGGAGGGGTTGCAAGAAGTGGGGGAACCAATAAAGAGGGGTGGATAAGAAATAGCGTGCAGTAAACAAACTGGCTACAGTGTGGGCTAGCTAGCATACCTTCAATAAATTCCAAATCAATGTGTTCTGTTGGAAAAAGTGCTAATTATCAGATTTTACAATAATGGTTACAAGGTAGGAAAGGTAACGCTCTGCTTAAGTATTAATGTTAATGCTACCTGATGCTTCACCAGACTAGTATAAAATTACTGAGGTTTAGTCAACATCAGACACAGCTGGTAACTGACGATGTGAAAGCCTGGATAATGATACGATGATAATCTTGGGTGGCATTTCAGTTGAAATTTCAGAACTTCTCATTATCAGCTCCCCATTTAGAGTCACTGTTTCTCATTGAAAGTGACAACAAAGTTCCTGGAAGTATGTGCTGTTATGCCATTAACATTGACATTAATATCTAGAATTCATTACTTTCTAGCAGGAGGGGTTTGCAAGAGGCAATCCATTTTGTGTGACAATCACATTACTTCTTGCTATTCAGTCATTTCATTACGATTAACAAATGGTTGAATAGTTCCAGAAATACTACAACTTATGATAAACTTGCAATTTAGTGAACAATTGTGTATATGATTTTCCTGCACATCAGGTGTAGTCAAGAAACTGCAAAGCCACATATCAATAATTATCATTATATCAACTATGACTTCTACAGCTTACTACTTTATGCTTACAGAAATCAAGCCTACTATTATTGAATGTTCAGAAAAATTTTACTTTCCTTTTGCTTTCCTACAAATTTCCTGGCTTCCATAAAACTTAAAGCTAAAGTTTTTCTCACTTATTTGTGTACAATAAAAAGTGAATAAGAGTAATACAGCAATAAATGATAATAATAATAATAATAATAATAATAATAATAATAATAATAATAATAGTAATGATGATAATAATGAAAATAACAACAATAATAATAATAATCACAATAATAATAATAATAATAATAATAATAATAATAATAATAATAATAATAATAGCAACAACACTGAAAAAAGAACAACAATAACAATAATAAAAACATATAATAATAATAATAATAATACAAAAAAATAGAAATAATAATACGTCTAATCAAAATAATAATAATAATAGTAATAGTAATAGTAATAATAATAATGATAGTCTAATAATAACAATAACAATAAAAATAACAACAATATTAATATTTTGATTTTTTTTTTAAATCTAATAATAACATGTCAAGAAGGGTTTCACCTCCTAATCCTACAATCCCAAAGGCAATGACTTTGACGTAGCTCTTTCAAGTATATCCGATCCCGTGGAGAATCTAGGAGAATCACGTTATGTGTGGTGGTCAAACAGAATACAAGGTCAGAAATGAGATGACAAATAAAGAAAGGACAGCAAAGGAGCAGAAAAGAGGGAAGAGGAAAGGGAAGGAGAGGAGCGATGAGAGAAAGAGAGAAAAAAAAAGAGAGATGGAAAAAAAGAAAAAAAAAAAAAAAAAAAAAAAAAAAAAAAAAAAAAAAAAAAAAAAAAAAAAAAGCATCTATACATATACTTCTGTTTCACCAACCACTATGACCTACGTAAAATGGCATATAGTAAAGTATTTTGATAAAATAAAATAAATTACACACAAAAATACACTTGTATAATATGATCAAACAAGATAAAATAATAAATATGCATTGCTCCACATAAAACAGAAAAAAAAAACATGACTTCACACCAATATGCAGCTCAACATACTCTACTGAAGGCAATCCAGTGAAAGATGATTACTGCTGCAAATCAAAGATCAGAATATTCACATGCTAAACAAAGGCACTTGATTCTGTTCTATGGTAATAATACTGGAAACCCAATTCTAATCAACAACTGCTGTGCCTACAGGTAATATATATGACACTTATTTTGTGCTTGGAAAAGGAAGACACAGTGTTTCATCAAGAGTGGTTTTCAAGTCCTGTTGCCAAGTTTTCCTGTGCTTTGTCTCTTCTTTGTTTCCCTTTGGCCAAAAATCCCACACCAAAACATCAGATGTAAGCCAATGATCTATACTTATCCATTTATATATCTATAATGCAAAGGTTATGAAGCCAAGGTAAAATATTTATATCAATATCAGGTATTTTTGGTTAGTTTTCTCCAAAATAACCAAGGAAATAAGAAATCACACAACAGTGCATCAAAAGCAAGCACACCACTCTGGAACCTCTCGCACCTTGTAAACTTCTCTGGACTTGTAATTTCCGTAAGACAATTTCACCTGCTCCAAGGATTCCCCAAGAACAGTAACCTTGGACACAAGTGTCTGTAACTATCTAAGTAAGTTGAGTTAATTCCTTTGCTCTATTTTTGTTGGGGGAAGGTAATAAATATTGTAAAAAGAAGTGATGATTTAAATACAAGCCATAACACAAACAACAATATATTTTGCACTAACAAATGGAAGCTATCAAATATTTTTGCAGAGGTCAGCACAATCAAAACCAAGCAATTTCAAATATATGACTTTCACTGATTATAATCAGAGAGAAAAATGTTTCCATAATAATCAAGAGACAAGTCATCAACTCAAAATCTTCAATACTACATCAATTGATACATTGAAATGTTCATTGTCCTAAATCCTTTTCAAGTTGACCTTCACATCATGAAAAAAATTTGGCTGGGGACCAGGTGATAGGAATACACTGCCGCGGAAAAATATGACTGAGTCAAATATGACGTCACAAAAATTTGACTGAAGATTGAGTTGACAGATATGACTTGCCATGAGCGCACAAAACTCTTGGAGGGGCTCTTGCATCATTTTTGCAAATAACTGTGTGTGGAAAATACCTCCTGGCTTCTGGGAGGACACTATTTCCATGCTCATGATCCTATTCTTACCCACTGTGACCAGCAGTACAAGGTGTATTACAGAAAACTGAATATCATGGAGAAAGAAATGAGTGAGAAAAAGAAGAGAGAGAGAGAGAGAGAGAGAGAAGAGAGAGAGAGAGAGAGAGAGAGAGAGAGAGAGAGAGAGAGAGAGAGAGAGAGAGAGAGAGAGAGAGAGAGAGAGAGAGAGAGAGAAAGTTATTTACTGTTATTGCAAAGAGCATCCTGATACAGCATATCAAATGACAAATAGAATCTTTACAAAAGAGAGAAAGAGAGAAAAAAAACTTTTCATCATATGCTTTAACATCATAATCACCAATACTTTATATTTCTTGCCTTCTACATTAAGTATATGGTATGAACAAAATGATATACTCATTAGCCTTATATGACATGAGGAATAGTTTAGTTGCTATTTCTAGAAATCATAAGAATTGCTTTGTTATTGCAATTTTGTTCAATGTACATTACAATGTTATACGGTGCTAATTTTCAGCATAACCTGGATTTCACTAGCCTTATCTATCTGACTTGGGAAATGTATTTTTGCCCAGGCCTAAATGTGCAATCTGGGGAACAAGAAAAGGTAGGGTTCTCTTTTTATATCACCCCCCCTCCTACCTAAAACAAAAATGAGTACAGGGGATCCTCTTTATTTGTCATTCAACTATTAATTCATAATAACAGCAATAATAATAATAACAACAACAACAACAACAACAACAACAATAATAATAATAATAATGATAATAATAATAATAATAATAATAATAATAATAATAAAAATAATAATAATAATAAAATACAATGTAAAATTCAATAAAAAGTTCCAAACTTGAATTTTAGAATATGTATACAAATACCAGAAAAAGTTTCTGCATGGTACTAATGAGAACTACCGTTTACATGAACAGTGCGTGTCTATTTTCCAGCCAACCAAAAAAGGAATGGTATCACTGATGTAACACCTGGACTCATTAATAATTAATTGCTGATGTAAACCTAGCTAAAGCTAAGCACTGATGTGTCGTGATGATACTAGCCAAGACAGATATAATAAAAGGAATAAAAGTGGTAAATGCACAGCTCAACCACTTCTGATTCTTTTGCAAGAAGCCAAGTTGAAAATGAAGAAAAGATGGATGATATAAAAAATGATGCTCTTCTCTCATCCAACCATCTACAGCCTGACCCTCATTCCTGTTGCTTCTGCCACGCACTGAGATGAGGGGTCACCCCCAATATGAGTTCATGTGAGTAATTGTAACACCATTATTACAATAATCATCGCTGGCATTTCTCTTCTGAATAGTCTCTTTGGTATCATTTCAAGAATATACAAATAAACTATATGCTTGATCAAACCACTAGACATTACAGTCTGGTCCACACTACACCCTTTAATAATGTATACCTATTGGATACTGCATATCTCTATATTCATCAAATTGTTATTTGTTGTATTTTTCTGGTCCCTATGAATGACAAATAAGAATCCCTGGTACCCATGTTACAAACGTCTATTAAACACTATCATGGAATCAGAATACAATTCAAAATGCTAGCTTGGACAGACGGACGGACACAGACAGACACACACAACTGAAATGAAACTACATGGGATAGCTGACGGTAACTCAAAGTGTCTAGCTTTACCAACAATCAACCTGAACTACCTAACTGTGCAATGCCAAAGGATGTCTGATTTCGATTCAATTCAATCAAAAATCAGAGTTTATAATTCCTGAACAGTAACCCAAATACGGCAACTTGCTATGTCATATATACTAGTTGAAGCTAAATCTAAATTAGTCTAACAAAAGTTATAGCTTCTTCCTTTGGCAGTATTGCATACTGAAATTGATACACTTATGTACCCTTGTTGTATAGACAGTTGTCTCATTACTTCTACTGAGACTTTTCTTCACAATATTGAATTTTCATGTATCATGAACTTTTGACATAACCTGCATGGACAAGCAGACACACACGACTGAAATGAAACTACATGGGAGGCTGTGTAGCTGTAGCATTTTTAACTTACATGGAGCATAAAATTATATTGAGAATCATTATATATCTGGGAAAATAATAGTAAAAATAGGTGAAAAAAGACAGAATTTAACCTAAAAACCAGATACGTCGAAAGCTTGGATGACAACTAAAGCATCTACCAACATCTTAAAAAATCTAAAGGGAACAAGGAAGCCTAAACAATAATATCTCATTCCTTTTAGATCAAATTTACAAAATAATTATAATTTTGAGAAAATGTAAATATTATCTTATAGCTTTTAGATTATATTTTATCTAAATTTTGTTTTATATACGTATTTTTGGCAATTCTACATAAACTATTGTTGAAATAAATACTTTGGAAAAAAAAAAAAAAAAAATACTTACAATAAAAAAGACTGAACATTCATATATGTAAAACTAATTTTCTTTTGTACCCTTTTTGTCTCCCCCCAATCTATCTATCTATCTATCTCTCTCTCATATGCATACATATGTATGCATGTAGGGGCGTGCTCAAAAAAGCAAACACACGTACACATACAAATGCATGTGCATATGTATATCCACACACTCACTCTCACTCCCCCCCCCTCTCACACACAAACACACCCATGCACAAACTCGCACACACCCACACCCACATGCATGCACGCACTCACTAATATATCTAAACAAACTAAAAATTATTTGTAGAGCTTGGTTATCCAAAGTATAATACAACCTTTGCTTTAATTCTATTAACTGCAACCTGTCCTGAGTTCTTCTATGAAGAATTGCCAACATGTATAAATATCTATACATGTATGCAATATGTGCAAGTATTTTCCTTGCAAGATTCCCAATGAAAGCTGCCTTTTAAGAGAATGATTATTGAAACCCAAAAGAACAAGATGTAACTTACCAAATTTCTTTTGCCATCAGTCTTGTCTGAAGAAGTGAGTAGTCTGTAAGGATGAATTTCCATATATTAATCTATGTGTTCATTTATCTCTTTTCTTTCACCGAAAACATAGCAACAGCAATATTTTTTGTATAATCTCCAATAAGTTTTTTCCTGCCTCCAGATCTATACTGAGAGGAAAATATAGAGCAAGAGGCAAAAGAGAGAGAGAGGAGGAAAGAGTAGAGGGGGAGGGGGAGGGAAGGAGGGAGAGAAAGAGAGTGGGGGGGGGGGGTCAAGCTTAGTTATGAAAATTCCAGATATGACAAGAGTAAATGAACCAAGACTTCCTATTAAATTTTAATCAGCAAAAAGATATCCTATAAAACAATATTCTAAGATAAGAAATGCTGCCAAAAATATCTTGAGCTAACTGTACATCACATTGCTATATATTTCAAAATATCTAACATAATTATCTGTAATTCAATAATAATTAAAATAATAATAATAATAATAATAATAATAATAATAATGATAATAAGAATAACTTTCTTGCCATATTATAATCAAATATCTACACATTTCCTGAAGTGACACGTCTGTAAAATATACAAATAAATTGCGGAGATGATGAAAATCAGTACGGAATACATACTGGTAATCCCTGGAGTAAGTGAACCCCACAAATGGTAGATGGTTCCCGACAAAGGCTTTAGGGGTTCCAAAGCTTTCTTCAGGAGTGTCCTCATTCTCCACTTCATCAAAATTACTAGTGTCGTCATCACTTGCGAGGTCAGGCACAACAGGGGGTACACCTATTATGGAAGAAAGAATAGATTTCTCCATCCCATACAAAATCATGAAAACATGTACATCATACCATATTTCCATCAGATTATTAGTTCATAATGAATATTACTGCAATGGGGTCTTCAACATACTGGCAATAGACTATAAAGAGGGAACTTAAGCTGCTTTTTTTTGAGAAATGTCTTTTTATGTAACATTTTTTGATTAATGATAAGATCAAAAATAAATGAAAACACTAACTCACATTCTCTAATTGTGTCAAATGTCCACTGATCATTGAGAAAGAATCGAAGACATTTTATTTCTTCAATACCATTTCTACCTAATCTTGTTAATCTGGAAAGGAGAATATCAATTATAAGTACATAAATTGTAAGAGTTAAAACTATCAATAAAAATAAAATATCTGTTTTTCATATGTAAAATAACTGAATACCTTATCATATCACATAGGGATGCAGTTCCAGCACAATTATCACAATTCCTTACCTGTCAGACAAGAAACCACAGATCAAAGTCTTGGCATCAACGGAAATTTCAATATCATCCGGAAACTTTAGTGAATTTTTGTGATCCATAATTTTGCCGTAGGTGCCAACCAACGAATCCGCATAGAAGGGCGTGTCACCCACTAGCATTTCATAGAGGAAGACACCAACAGACCACCAATCACACTCTCTCCCATAGACCCCTTCACCACCCTGTGACTTGAGGACTTCGGGAGAGATATAGTCTGGTGTTCCCACAGCTGTGTCTGATCTTACGAGTCCGTCCTGAGGAAGAGAGGAGGAGATGAAGGCAAGGGAACCACAATCACTGGTTTTATGATTATGTTCTGAAGAGGAGATATACAGAAAATAAAAATACTATCTGGATTTTTTTTCCAACTACATTCCGCTTCAGTACAACTTTTTTTTTTTAAATGTATGCACATGCCATCCCCGGCGGCAATTGGTTAAGTGACAGAAAGGATGACTCTCTGACAAACATTCGTCGGCACTTGTCCATTATACTTTGGATCTCACCTTATCCATCTTCATACAAGTACCAAAGTCTGCCAGTTTGAGGTGACCACTACCATCCAGAAGCATGTTATCTGGCTTTACATCTCTGAAAGAAAAAAATATGAATTAAGAGCTAAGTAGAAAATAAATTTTTATTCAATTTAAACACAGTAAAAAACAACGCAAAATAAAAAATGAAGAGGAAGAAAAAACATTACTATAAAAGTCAACTATCCCTAACCTGTGAACAAATCCCATGGAATGGATTGCGTCCAGGGCTAGGACCACTTCTGCACAATAGAACTTGGCCCATTTCTCTGGTACATCATAGTTGGACATCAGGTTCACTAAGTCACCACCTAAAAAGTAAAGGTAATTCTAACTAATAAAAAAATTATAAAAATCCTAAACATAAACATGCAAAAAACAAGCACATTTATTTACTACTGGTTATGTTCTCTTGAAAAGGTTGATGTTGGAAACCTTGGGGAAAGGGATATGATGGGAAACATTGTCACAATTACAGTGTTTTTGAGATCAGTAATGCCGGAACAACAACACAAAAAATTTACAAGGGTTTCTTTTAAAGGCTTCTATCAAGGAGATGGAGGAAGTTATTACAAACAGGTGATGTTTAGTACAAAAGGTTTGTATATCTAAATTTAATGGTCTACATTACTTAGGAACTCTTAATCAATTTAAAACATTGAAAAAAGGATTGTTGTAAAAGCGGTAACTTTTTATATAAAACATTCACATAGATCTAATCTCTATCATCAATTAGGAATTACTAATAACATAAAAGGAAAATCAGAAAATTACTACACTCAAAGATCCAAACCCTGATTCCAAACCAGATCAAAGATTACTAGCAGACAGTCACACAACCAACCATACCTGGCATATAATCCATGACCATGTAAAGAAATTTTGAATCTTGGAAGGCAAAATGCAGCTGAACAATCCATTCTGAGTTAGCATGAGCCATAATGTCTCGTTCTTCCCAGAAAAAGGCAGAATCAGACCTTTTGATCATCTCAATTTTGCTCAGTAATTTCATTGCATAGATCTGTAAAAAAAAAAAAAATCAATAATAATAATAATACATGAATAATAATGATATTGGGTTAATAAATGGACATGAAATTCTCTGTCTACATGACTAAACAATAAATAATTACAAAATGAAAATGAATGCACATATATCATCATCATGGAGCTAATGCTGATGGGCACATAGCTGCATCCACCCTTTGTTTCCATCTACGAGGGTCCCTCATGGCAAGCCGCCAGGCAGGGACTCATGACATTTTTGGTTGATCTGCCCAAGCCACAACTTCCTAGGTCGTCCCACAGGCCTCCTCCACCCAGGGTTCTTTCGAACAGAGACAACCTGATGGGCAGGATCATCCTGAGGAAAGCGAGCAAAGGTAGCCGCATAGCCCGACTTGGCGATCACGGATTGTGCAGATAACAGGTCTTGTGCCAGTCTCACGGTGCAACTGTTGGTTGGGCACATGGTCCCGCCAACAGTTCCCCAAGATCCCATGCAAGGACCTATTACAAAAGGCATCAAGACAAGACTCCAAGGCACTAGATAATGCCCAGGTTTCACTACCGTATAGCAAAACTGGTATTATCAGGGTCATGAAAACACGTAGCTTGGTCCTTCTGCACAGGTACCAGCATCTCCAAATACTTTTGTCGAAAGAGTTCATGACCCCTGATGCCAGGCCAACCTGACTTCCTGGTCTGACAGCCCAGAATTATGAACTACACTACCAAGGTATGTAAAGCTCTCTCTGACTTCAATGTCCTTGCCGCAAGCATGGATCTTGGTCTTTGTCTAGGAGACCTCTAGACCCAAGGGCTTCGCTTCATTACTAAATGCATCCAGAGCCACCACTAAGGTTTCCAAAGACATTATCAGCAAAGTCAAGGTCAGTAACCTTGATATTACCAAGAGTTGATCCACAATGACTTTGAATAGTAGCTCTGCCCAGTATCCAGTCCATGCAGGTGTTGAAAAGTGTTGGGGCAAGGACCCAGCCCTGCCTTACTCCTGAACTAACAGAGAAGAAGCTCAACAGGCCCCCACCACACTTTACAGCACTTTCAGTACCAGTATACAGGCTTGCCATTAGTCCAATAACCCTTGTTGGAATTCCTCACAGTCTCAGGATCTTCCAGAGTGATTGAACGCCTTCTTGAGGTCAATATAGACTGCAAGCAGCCCACTCCCGAACTCACAAAGGCGCTCTACAATGCCTCGAAGTGCAAGGATAGTCTATTGTGGATTGCTCCAGCCTCTGGTGTCTCAGTAGGTGGTCTCTGATATATCTCAGAAGGATGTGAGCGAGAACCTTGCCTGGTATACTAAGCAGTGTAATGCCTCGGTGGTTGCTGCAGTCCCATCGGTCCCCCTTCCCCTTCCAGAGAGGGATGACTATATCCACCAACAGGTCAGGAGAAAGGTACTGGAATGCCAGATAGCAGCCAGGATAGCATGTAACCCCCGTGCCATAGGTTAACCACCACCCTTTTAACA